CTGTCTTGCTACTGGGCCTTAAGAGAGGCTGAATGCCTAACCATGGGGATATCAGGTGACTATGCAGTCTCAACTTCCCATCACGAACTGTATACCTAGACATAAGGGTTGGGCATGAGCAGCAGCAATCTACTATCAAATAAATATGGTATGAGAAACTGAGTTTACCAGGTCCAGAATAAGTTGCATGAGCAGGTGGCTCAGATTCCTTCAACACCAACTCCTACTGCATTGCCTCTTATACCTCAATCTGTGCCTAATGCCCACGTGGGCAGTTCCTTATGAATAGTTGAGGAAGAAAAAACTTGAGCCTGTTTTATAGATGAGTCTGCATAGCATTCTAGTACCACCCAAAAGTGGACAGCCCCACTCAGAGGGGACCTGAAGGAAAGTGGTGAAGGAAAAACTTCCTAGAGAACAGAACTTCAAGCAGTACATTTGGTTGTCCATTTGCCTAAAATGAGAGATGGCCAGAGTCACTGACCTAAACAGATTCACGAGCAGTTACTATGGTTTGGCTGAATGGTCAGGGATTGGAAGGAACCTGATTGACAGATGGTAACAAGGAAGTTTAGGAAGAGGTATGTGGAAGGACCTCTTTCAGAATGGGCAAAGACTCTGTGTCCCATATGAATGCCCAAAGGACATCCACTGTAGAACAGGCTTTGAAAATCAGGTAAAGAAAATGGCAAGCTCTATGAATGTCAAACACTTTCCCCAGCCACCCTAGTGCTTGTTCAATGGGCCCATGAATGAAGTGGTCATGGTGGCAGAGATAGAGAATATGCAGGGGCTCAACTGCTAATGTTACTGCTAGATACCTAATCTGCCAACGGCAGGGACCAACGTGAGTCTCTGACAAGGCACCATACCTCAGGGGGACCAGTCAGTCAGACGGAATCAGATTATTTACATTGGACCTTTTGTATCATGGAGGAGGCAGATATTCCTCCTCACTAGAATAGACACACATTCTGGAAACGATCTGCCTTTCCTGACCATAATGCTTCTGCAAGCACCACTACCCACAAGCTTACAAGTGCTTTATCTACTGTCTTGGCACGCTAGACAGCATTGTTTTTGATCAAGGAACTTATTTCACAGTAGCAGTACCACAATGGTTTCTGTCTTCCCCAATAGCAGAATATATGGGTCTGGTATTCAACACATGGAAATAGGAGTGGCTCTTCTCACTGCTATACCTAATAACTCATTCACAGAATTTTTGCTTCCCCTCCCAAAAAATTTTGAGCTCTGCTAGTTCTCAGTCTTAGTTACAAAGATTGCGTCTACCAGGAAACATAACTATGGTTCCACTGAATTAGAGACTTCCACCTGGCCACTGAACCAAGAGGTAGGAAAAGTGGGGTTACTTGATTGGTCTGAGTGACTGATCCCAATCAGCAAGGAGAAACTTGAGTTGCTGCACAGAATGGGAGTTAGGAGGACTAGCTGAAGCCCACGGAATTCTCTTAGGCTCCTTGTAGTACTTCTATGTCCAATATTAATGGTTAATGGAAAACTACAGCAACCAGAAAAAGGCAGGACCCTTCTGAAATAAAGATTTTGTTCCCACTATCAGGTAAAGAACCTGAAAAAGCTCAAATTCTGGCTGAGGGCAGAAGTAATAAATAGGTAGTAAAAGACGAAGCCAGAGATATCAACTATGGCTCTGTAACCAATTACAGAAACAAAGACAGTAGTAGCTTTTCATATTTTCTCTTTGCTTTATTGTATATGTCTGTACTTGTGTAAATGTTAACCATTTCCTTCTTCCCTCTCTTCCTCATTTTTATTTTATACATAAGTTGTTGCAGGTGAACTTTACAAGATAGTCTTTAGTTAAAAAAATATTCACAGGCACTGTAAAGGAATATATAATTAATATAGTCAGTAACGACTGTTGAGACTGTGCATCTCATTATTTTGGGGAGAGAGTAAGTACTTCTTCACTTGTATGAAGGATAGCTATATCTTGTTAGGTGGAAACTGAGTTCTTTTGTTGTTGGATGGAATTTCAAATGTGTTTAGAAGCATTCATATAGAACTGAGTAGACAAGGGAACGGATTATGCCAGTTATTTATTGCCGCTCAACTTCCAATGTATCGGGTATCAGCTTCAAATCTTTGTAATAAAGGATCTGGATTTAGTCAACATTCTCCTCCTGTGACCTGGAAATGTTAAAGCTTTCTCAGTAGAGGATGCTAGTAGACAGACACTGCAGTACAAAAGTCTTCTTTGCTCTGGGAGGTATGTGTGTGTAAAGCAAAGGGAAGTCCTGTTCCCAGCCTCAGGGCCCATCTGCACCCTAGCAGGGGAGTGAATGTTCTCTTGCTTGCAAGTCCTGGTCAGCAGTTCCCTTCCTGCCAGCCTTGCCCCAATGACTGTGGACCAGCTGGTCCAGGGCAACCCAGTGAACTTCTCCACTGTCTATCAGGCTAAAACTAACACATTCTCCAACAAGGTCTGAATTCAAGTTTGGAGGAGAGGGCCCACATTTCAAGTTTGTTCCTTCCTTGGGTATTCTCCCTTAGCTTCTTTATCCTAATTCTTTGAAACAGTTAATAACTCTAAATTAAATTGTCCCTGTTCAAATTACTGTGTGCTTCCTATCTCCTGACTGATACAGTAACAAACATCTCAAAATCTAGAGAAATAGGCTACATTTTTATAAAGTAGAATACTATTTCTCCTTCTTCTATACTAGATAGTGCTCATATTCTATGGTATCATAATGCTCCTATCCCACCACTATTATACTACAATAATTAATATTAACAGAAGCCAAAAATTTATTTGATGCTTAATATATGCTAAGCAGTAATCTAGGTAGTTTATCTGCACTGACTCATTTAATCCTAACAATCACCCTACAATGACCTATTACAAATACCTTTCAAATGAAAAATATAAATACCCTACCCAGAACTCTTCTTTAAATAATTATGAAGTAAACTATAATCACATTTGCTGTGAAGTTCATGATGGTTATAGTAATGCCTACTATAACTTTGTGGTTTTAAAGTCTCATACATTTCTATCGGTTATTTAAAAAGTTAAACTTCACTGTCTTGACCACAAACTAATGATGAATTACTGTGGCTGATTAATGGCTACAGAAAGTCCTCACAACAAATTCTTGACCACTCATCACAGCAAGAAAGAGTGAGGAAATATTCAAAAGAATAATACTAATAATCCTAAAGCATCACTGTAATCAATTATCAATCCAGATTCTTCTGTCTCAGTGGCTAACTCATTACAAATTTATTAATGTGAGTTTCACACAGGGGAATGAACAATACCCAAAGGTTTAAATAATCAAGAACTACTATACATTTTATTTGTAAAAAAAGTTGATATGTTTTATTCTACTAGTTAGGAAGCACAGATTTTATTTAACCAAAGGCCAATGATGTAAAGTGTCAGGACTCAAAACATGACTTTAAAAACAGCATCAAAACTGAGATGTCCCATACCATCTATAGAGTAGACTGTAGCTTGATACTTAAATTTAATAGTTTTGAAACTAAATTAATTGAGCTTCAACTAAGTCTTAAAGCCTAAAGATTACAACATTATTTGAAAAGAGTGACTAAAAAATTACATTCTTTTCTTTTTGTTCAGGAAGATTTCCCCGAGCTAACATCTGTTGCCAATCTTCTTCTTTTTGCTTGAGGAAGATTTGCCCTAAGCTAACATCCATGCCAATCTTCCTCTATTTTGTATGTGGGTTGCCACCAGAGCATGGCTGCTGACGAGAGGTGTAGGTCTGCACCCGGGAACTGAACCCAGGCAAGCAAAGCAGAATGCACCAAACTGAACTACCAGGCCATGGGGCCAGCCACCCAAAATTATATTGTTATGTCACCAAATTATAATTTGAAGTCCAAAAATCTTAAGAATTGCTAACAGACCAAATTCTCTAAGAATACTACATCTGACCATCTTTCCAATCACCCTTCTCCTTTTTTTTACCCAATAATAATGATGGTGATAATTAACAATTACTTATAATAGCCAGGTACTGTTTTAAGAGCTTTATACATATTATTTATTCCTCAAAACTAGCCTATGAAATAGATTCTACTATTGTCTGCATTTTATAAATGGGGAAACTGAGGCACAAAGGGATTACATAATTTACCCAAGAAGTATTAGAGCACAGACATGAACTCCTGTACTCTGGCTCTAGAGTATCAACTTTTACAGACCCCTATTGAGAGCTCTGAGTAGTGGCTTGCTAAAATCTCATAAAGATACTTAAGTACGTACTATTATTATCCTTATTTTACAGACAAAAAAACTAAAATTTGTCCAAAGTTATATAACTAATAAATGATAAAAATCAGGATTCTAAACTAGTTTGCCTTACTCCAAAAACCAATTTCTTAACTATTAAGATATATTTCCTCTCTATACCCGTTAATAATAATGAGTTCAAAAACCATCAGATATGGGGCCAGCTGGGTGGCACAGCAGTTAAGTGCGCATGTTCTCCTTTGACGACCCAAGGTTCGCCAGTTCAGATCCTGGGTGCAGACACGGAACTGCTTGGCACACCACGCTGTAGTAGGCATTCCACATACAAAGTACAGGAAGATGGGCACAGATGTTAGCTCAGGGCCAGTATTCCTCAGCAAAAAGAGGAGGACTGGCAGCAGTTAGCTCAGGGCTAATCTTCCTCAAAAAAAACAAACCATCAGATAAATCAGAACAAATCCCACATAAAACTAAAGATCAAATAGGAGTAAGATACCATGTCATGGTATAAACTTAAAGAATAAGTATATAAGTATAAACTTATACCCTCAGAAATAGTAAGCATCAATTGATTCCTGCTGAGCAGTTCCAATACTACCAACCCAAAGACATTTATAAAATGTATCACCTACTGAGAGAAAACACACATCCCACAAAAACAGTTTAACATAAAAGATAAATAGTTGTAATGTTAACTTTGCCTGTCACATGCACTAAGCAGCAAATGCAAACATACCTGCAAGGAGGCAAGACCATGGAGTCTTTCATTAGCACAGATCCAGAAAGCAGAATATACCAACATCTGGCAATAGTTTCTGAACTGTTTAAATGAACAAGGAAATATATGAGTAAATAAACACACTCACATATATATAGATTCAATACAAAATACATAACACGAAATACATTCTAATAATGTCACAAATCATTAAAAATTAAGTAATACTACTTGGAAATCTGAGAAAGTTTGCCTTTTGCCTAAGGTTTTATAAAGACCATGTTCACACGGGAAAAAGTATAATCACTATCTTAAAATATAGACTTCAGAAGTATATGTTTATGAGTTCTATCTTATTAATTTTATCATTAACTTCACATTCTTCATTTTTGTGTACTGGATCATCAGGTTTGATGAAGGTTAACTTAAATACTGCACTACATCTGCATATTAGAACATTCTATTTCTGATAACTTTTAAGTATATTAAAGATATTATTTAGACTTCACAAGTTTATCAATGTTGCCTCTTAACTTTCAATTATAATTTGGATCATGATAATTTATTTAAATTTTATTCTGACAGACATAATAAAATGTCCACCCAATCTTTCACTTTATATGTGTTTGAGGGATAAAACGAAAGAAGATCAGATGACTTAAGTCTGTCAGCATTTTGGTTCAGTTAAATCTCCAATGGAAACCCAGAATCTTGCTAGATGTTAGTTTATAATCTAAACTAATCTTTCTCTCTCTCTCTTTCTCTCAAATACCTTTATTTACCATACCCAGGGCTTCAATTAATTCCAATATGTAGCAGATTCTAATATTTATAAAACAAAACCTTTCCTCTGAGCTGGAGAACTGTTTATCTATCTGGCTGTCTACTTGACATGTCAACTTCTATATCTAACAGACACCTCTAACTCAACGTGTTCAAAATCTACCTATCATTTCTTTCAAGCTTGGATCTTTTCTAGTATTTTCTGTTCTCAGTGAATAGTACCACCCTCCATCCAGAAACCTAGGCCTCTTTTGAAATATGACTTACAAAATCCAGAAGGAATAAAATCAATAAAGAAAAATTTGCCCAAAATTAAGACAGCAGAAAGTTATGACTGGATGCTACCATAAGCCTCCAATTTTTATCTCACGTGGCTGAAGTAGTCACAAAATAGTCAGTAAATTGTACTTTAAATGCAGGAAAAATTGTGAAGTTTATTCCCACCACCAAGAGAGACAGGCCAGGTCATGAACCAGAAACTGTTCAGACCTTGCAAAGAATTCCAATCTCAGAACATGGTTTGGAAAGTGAAACCCTTTAACTCTTTAGAGGCCATGCTATCTCCTTTCTCTTTGAAAGCAAATGAATCCAAGAATAATCTAGCCTAGAGAAGGGAGGCATCAGATCTTACTCCTTCAAAAGCTTCACACTGCTCCTAAGATAAAGATCAAAAACTCTTCAAGTGACCTTCACTTGCCTCTCCAGACTCCTCTCTTACCATTTCCTCTTCTTTCCTCAAAGCACTTGAATCACTGGCATATTTTCACTTTTCATATCCTGCTGCTTCCCAGTTAAGGTCAACTATACATTCTTTTCTCTGACTCCACCAACTTCTGAATGTAAACTCTTAACTTTCACATTCTTTTTTTTTAAAATTCTTGTTTATGGTTAGCCAGATACAAATCTGCATAACTCTTAATATTTTTAAAAGTTTTATTGAGGTACAATTCACATACTATAAATTCGCCCATTTTTAAATGCACAATCCAATGATTTTTATGAAATTTAAAAACATTGTGCAAATATCACCACAATCCAGTTTTAGAACATTTCTATCACCACAGAAAGATCTCCTGTGCCTTCTTTGCAGTCAATCCCTGCCCTGGGAGCAATAATCTGCTCTGTCTCTAGAGATTTGTCTTTCCTGAACAGTTCATATAAATGGAATCACATAATATGTGGTGTTTCTATCTTGCTTCTTCCACTTAGCGTGTTTTTGAGGTTTGTCCATGTTGTAGCATACCTAAGTACTTTATCCCTTTTTATTACCAAACAGTATTCCACTATATGGATATATGGCATTTTATTTATCCATTCTTTGGACACTTTGCTTGTTTCCAGTTTTAGGCTAGTATAAACAGTGCTACTAAGAACATTTGTGTACAGTCTCTGTATGCATGTATGTTTGCATTTCTCTTGGGTAAATATATCAAAGTGGAATTACTAGGTCATTTGGTAAAATTGTTTAACTTTTTAGAACGCGTCAACTGTTTTCTTAAGTGGCTATACTATCTAACATCCGCACCACCAATATATGAGGATTCCAGGTGTCACCATATCCTTGTAAACACTTGTTATTGTCTACCTTTTTTATTGTAGTTATTCTAATGGGTACAAAGTGATATCTCAATTTTTGTGCATGGTGTAAGGTAAGCATCTAAATTAACTTTCTGCATGTAAATACCCAATTAATTCAGTACCATTGGTTGAAAAAACTATGCTTTCCCCATTGAAATGCTTCAGCATCTTCATCAAAAATAAACTTTTCACTGTTGTTCCTTTTTAATCCTCAATCATGTTATACCCACACTGTGTGCAGATCTTAGCTAGAGGCCATAAAAAAAAAAAAACTATTCGTAAACATAATGATTTACTTCTGGGCTCTCAATTCTATTCCAATGATCTATATCTCTATACTTTTCCTTGATAACACTTAAATATGTGTAACTATTTTAATTTTCTCTCCCCTACTACACAATAAGCTCAATAAGGACAAATACTGTGTCTTCCCACCATTCTACAACAGGGTAAGAATAACATATAGCAGACAAACATTTAATAATAAATGAATGGATCAACAAATGAATATAACCATTAAAATCCTTATGAATCCAGTAAATACTTTAGAAATAATGATAAATGCAATGTGCAGGTAATGAAACATGAAAAGTCAATACCATTCCTACATACCAGCTAAATCTATATAATAAAACAGGTCACTATTGCTAAAACTTTTAGAAGAAAAACAGAGAAGAGGATCTTCACAATCTTGAGAGAGAGAAAGATTTTGTTTTTTAAACAGGACAGGGAAAGCACTAATTACAAATAGAAAAATTGAGAAAGTCAGGAATTTCTCTTCTTCAAAATATGCCATTAAGAGAGGGGAAAGGCAAGCCACACAGTGGGAGAAGACATTTGCAGCATATGTATCCCAACAAAGGACTAGGATACAGAATTCATAAAGAATTTCTACAAATCAACAGAAATAGATTAGACACCCCAATTAAAAAATGGTCAAAATTTCAGAAAGGAGCTATTCAAATACCCTATAAAAACATGCAAATCATTTATCATCATTAGTAAGTAGGGAAATGTAAAATAAAAGCATAATGAGACAACAAAATGAAATACGTGTTAGATTCTAATATTAGAATCTTCTAAATTTGAGCACACATATTTCTAATAATTCTATTCCTAAGAATTTGCCCAAGAGGAATGAGAAAATAATGGCAGAAAAAGACATGAACAAAATGTTCATAGAAACTTTATTATTCACGATTGTAAAAAACTGGAAACAACCCAAATATCTATTAACAATGGAAAGCATAAACAAATTATTTTCACACAACTGTATACTGCAAAGCAATGAAAAAGAATGAATGCAAAAACACAAAACAATTTCAAACATTTGTGAAGTAAAAAAAGCCTAACCAAAAGATTTTTATCTATATGGAGTCAAAAAAGAGGAAAAACTAATTTATGATGATAGAAGTTAGAACTTGACTACCTTTCCAAGAGATTTGACTAGAACCTTCTGGAGAGCTGGCATGTTCTATATGTTCACCTGGGTAGTTTACACAGATGTACATATTTATTAAACTTCATTGCAATATACACCTTTTGGGTAATGTATGTTGTATTTCAGTTTATGCACATATTTCAATCTGCTCCACTGAAACCGTTCCAGAATCAAGTGAATCTCTGCTAAAAGTTAAATTTAAACATTAAAGCAATTAATTTAAGCTAATCATGGAAATACTTACCAAAAAAGAATTTGATTGCCACTGTATCTCTCGTATCGTGCTCTTGCAGACAACAATCTAACATATTAAAAAAGTAAAAATTTTAAAGATTTTACCTTAAATTATGTTTCAAAAATTCTGTTATAATTACCTCAACAGAAAATGATCAGAGCAACTACTAAATTTTTCAATAAACTACAAGTTTAGAAATACATACATTAAATGCAATATTTTTAAAAATAGCAATTAGATAATATTAACAAGTATAATACTCTTATGTATATTTTATAATCTGTCAATTTTGCAATAAATAGCGTCTTTGTTTTGAAGAAGAAGATTAGCCCTGAGCTAACATCTGCCACCAATCCTCCTCTTTTTGCTGAGGAAGACTGGCCCTGAGCTAACATCCATGACCATCTTCCTCCACTTTATATGTGGGATGCCTGCCACAGGATGGCTTGCCAAGCTGTGCCATGTCCGTACCCGGGATCCGAACCGGTGAACCCCCCCCCAGCAGCTGAAGCAGAACATGCGAACTTAACTGCTGCGCCACCAGGCCAGCCCCAAAATAATGTCTTTTTTATTATGAAGAAATATACATTTGTCTGATTCACTACTGAATCCTCATGTGAAGAAAACAGTTACTGACAGAGGCATACACACATGCAAAACACCCATTGAATAAATATATAAACTTGCTTGAACTTAAAGAACACTTTTAGTATTACTAAATGCTCCAGTTTTCAGTTTTCTTCTTGATATACTTGACATATGCTAACATCTAAATTATGCTATAAAGAAAACAGAAAATAAAAATTTCCAATTACATTTTAGCAATCTGGTCCATAACCAGAAACTTAAAGAACAGCCAGAAAAAAGGATGGAGAAGCTGGTCATGTAAGGAAAACACATTTTAATTAAAATGTTACACAAAGTTACAAGAGCTAGTGCTTTAAAGCAATCAAAAGTGTTTTTACAAATAAAATCACAATGATATAAGAGGAGAGAAAACTCATTTTACAGAATAGGAAAATGAGGTTCAGAAAGTTTATGGGTCTTGTCCATGGGAGCTTATACCAAATCAAGAGTCTTGGCTCTTTCCACTTTAATACAACACTACATCATACCGTGCCCATGCTAAGCATTTGACATAACAAATATCAAGAGCAACCACAAAAAGAAAAGTTTTTATTCACTGGTTAGCACAGACTGAGCACTATGCTTTGCTTTAGATAGTTTGTACTCTCATTTAATCCTCAAAAGACTGTAACAAAGATAATTTTATTATCCCTATTTTATGGAAGAAAAAACTGCAGCTTAGAGAGATGTTAAGACTTGCTCAAGGTCTTATGGCTAAGAAAAACTGTGGTGAGAAATGCAAACTCCTATGCTTATCCTACAAAAAGTCCCTATGTGATTTCGCCCCTGCAATTATCTATCCAAATTCATTTAAATAAGTCCATAGCACATGCTCTTAAACAGAGCATCACACTTACCTAAGCTGATGTTCCCTGAGATTTGATAATATTTCCATTCCATGAAGGTAAGAATAAATAGTATTTAAGTCCTGTAGAATAGAAAAGATTTTAGATTATTTTTCAAATACACTTTCTAAAATATGACCCTCCCCTATGCTGATTTTAAGCAACCAACCATTTAGGACAGAACTTTAATCTATGAAAGAGTCATAAAGTCTCTGAATTACAAGAGATTCGACAAGGTAGAGTGTGTGCTCAACTCACACAGAAACCCTTCGTCAGCATGGGTGTTGGCCTCTACCTCAAACAATGCCAGAAATCAAAAACTCTTTATTATATATGAAAGTCTATTTAATTTCTAAGTGGATGTAACTTTTCTTCTTCAGTGACCTCCAAGTATTTGAAAAGAGTTATTATATCATGTTTTAAGTCTTGTTTTGTTTAGTTTTCTCCAGATTGCACAGTCTCAGTATTTGCAGGTTCCACATCTTTAAGCATCCTGGCTGACTTCCGCTGGAGGTGACCCAGTTTGTCAATATTCCTCTTAAAATATGACTTTCTAAAAATTATCTTTCCAAAGAGATTCAAAGTGATATTAATCTACCACTAAACAAAAAAGACATCCAATGGGACAATCCTGTTCACCCTGTGAAAGAGGAAGGAAATCTTTCTCTAACCTTCTTTCAGATAACAAGGTATTAAAAATCCCAGGATGATATAGTATAACCTCAGCTAAGAGCAGTGGTATAGCAAAAGAAGAAAGTGGGAGCAGTCCACATTCCTAAAAGAATGGAGTATTTTACCACTGATGTTATGTACAATGTTGGTGCATGGTGACTATAAAAAAGTTTAAATTCTCTACATAAAATATTCCTACTCATTCTCCTAGAAAGAATAATGCCTGTACGCTAGGGTAGATGGCTCCCAAACACTGCCCTCCTGCTTTGATATGCAACTAGCCAAGAGAATTATCAGATGACATAGAGAAGAAAAAGAAGACACCTAAGACAACTTGTTTTCCAATTGGTTAATAAGACAACATGGAACTACTAAGAAAACAGCAATAATCTTTGATTCCAAAGATTACAACTGCCAATTAATCATGATGCATTCAATGACCACACATATCTCTGCTAAATCCTTACTAAATGAGAGTGAAAAAGATTTTAAAGTTATTAAAAAAAAAAAGAGATGAATAGATTAAAAGAGGAAACCACAGCAATGAAAAAGGTCTATAAAATTCCAGAGGACAGCTGATGGAATAGTGATATGACAGTATTTCCAAAGACGGCTACAATGATATTTCTTATTCCATTTGGTCTTTTCCAATGGAAGCTTACCACTCCCCCATCAAAAACTGGAATCTACGTGTTCTTCTCATGGATCTGGGTTGGTCCTGTGATTTGTTCTGACCAAAAGAATGCAGCAGAAGTGAGGCTGTGTAACTTTTAAGATTCAAGTACCCTGAGACCACCAATGTCGTGAGGAAGCCCAAGCTAGCCTGATGGACAAGGGAAAGGCCATATGGAACAGCACCAAAGCACCAGGTATATTAAGTGATGCCTTCTTAGACCAGCCCAGCTATTGGCTGATTGGAGCTAAGAGAATGATCCCAGCAGAGGTTCTATGGGTCAAAAGAACAAACCTCTCAGTCAAAATCTTCTGAATTGAGGTAAAAAACAGAGTTCTGGCAAAAGTCTGCCTCATAGTGGGCTCACTGAGCCTGCAGATCCACCTAATAGTCTGTCCCCACTCCCCGAGTTTATAGTCAGAATTCAGGTACTTGGCAGTTAGAATAACTCTCACAATGGATCCATGACCTACGCAGTAAAAGCTGTGATAGTGGAAAAAGCCAAGTGGAAACCTCTGAAACTTCCCCATTCCTCAGAAATAGATAGTAAATAAAAGACAATACTGCTTCTAGAGGGACAAAGAACAGCAAAGACTCGTGCCATGAGTAAAGGCTTCAAGTATGCAGGGGTGATGGTCCCTATCATGTATCACCTGCAGAAAGCTGACGGATCCTAAAAAATGACTGTAGACTGCCACAGACTTAATCAAATCCTAACTAATGTTCTTAACATAGTATTGTTGCTAGAACTGATTAAGCCTCAGGTATTGATTTGGTGAATGCATTCTTTTCTATTCCAATTACAGAACAGGGTCAGAAACCGTTTGTATTCATGTCATATAATATTAACTTATAGTTTTGCCGTAGGGCTAAAGGCTTTCACTCTCCGTCGTATTCTGAAGATATCTAGACATCCTAACCCATTACATAGATGATGCCTTGCTGACTGGACAGAATGAAAAAGAGAATCAGTGAGAGGTGGCTGGAGTCCTTGGTAACATACTCATTTTCCACAGAGTGGGAGATAAACTCTATGAGGACTCAAAGACTTGCCACTTTAATGATTTTAGGGGTGTGGTGGTTGGGGACATTTCAGGACATCCCCTCCTGACAAATTGTTGGGACTTTGGTTTTAGGTCACGATGGAACAAGAGGGACTGGATTTACCCTCCACCTAAAACAACAAAAATCAAAACAAATATGTAAAACAGTTTTCAAGAGAGAAGGCATCAGGAAACAGAAGACAGTGACACCTGAGAGAGGGGAAACAAATGACGTCATTCATATGATTATATGAATACCTTACTGCCTGGTGTTATCTTGAGTTAAGGAGAAGGGCTGGCAGTCTGGGGAGCAGAAGGTGGCTAGACTTTGCAGAGCAGAAGAGAGAGAGAGAACACTACACAGAGAGAAAGTATGTTCTGGAAACCTACAAAGGGTCTCTTTTGAGTCTTAAGTTGAATAGTGATCATCTCATATATGTGAAGAAATATCTGAAATCAGGGAAAGAAACACCTGAAAGGATTAGAGTAGTGGTCCTCAACCAGGACTGATCTTGCCCCTTGGGTGACATAGCAATGTCTAGAGACATTTTGGGTTGTCACAATTTAGAGGGGAGCATGCTACTAGCATCAAGTGACTAGATAGAGATGCTGCTAAATATCCTACGATGCACAGGACAAGGTCCCAGAATAAAGGATTATCTTGGCCAAAATGTCAATAGTGCTAAGTTTTAAACACCCTGGACTCTAGTCTAGTTTCCTCTAGGGAACAATACCCAAAACTCACATAGGGACAGGAAGAGTTCCTGTTCCCAATAGGCAGGGTGGAGAAGCTCAAAATTCAGAGCGTGTATTTAGTAGAGTACTCAGAAGGCTTTGGACTCACAGTATTGGAGCAAAATTAACCCTAGACTAAATGCTACTCTAGTGCTACATAACACAGCTCAGTAAAGGCCCGAAAGGATCAAACAATTTCCAAGTTACTTAACTGTCCCCCAAAACAAAGCTAAAGAATATTTATAGAAAATATAAAAATATCCAGCACAGGGGCCAGCCTCGTGGTGTAGTGGTTAAGTTTTCATGCTCTGTTTTGCCGGCTTGGGGTTCACCAGTTTGGATCCTGGGTGCGGACCTACACACCATGTATCAAGCCATGCTGTGGCAGTATCCCACATAGAAGAACTAGAAGGACCTATAAGTAGGATATAAAACTATGTACTGGGGCTTTGGGGAAGAGGAAAAAAAAGAGGAAGATTGGCAACAGATGTTAGCTCAGGGTCATTCTCTCTAATAAAAAAAAAAAAAATCCAGCACATAAAAAGGTAAAATTCACAATCTTTAAGTATTCAATCAAAAATTACCAGGCATGCAGACAAGCAGGAAAAGATGACCCACAAGGAGGAAAAAAAAAAAAACTGACTCAGTAATTAAAGATAAGAGAATTAGTAGAAAAAGACATTTAAAAACCTATTGGGGCCAGCCTGGTGGCATAGTGGTTAAGTTCACGCGTTCTGCTTCACTGGCCCAGGGTTTGCGGGTTCGGATCCTGGACACAGACCTACACACCACTCATCAAGCCATGCTGTGGTGGCATACCACATACAAAACAGAGAAAGACTGGCAGAGATGTTAGCTCAGGGACAATTTTCCTCACCAAAAAACCCAAAAAACACAAAAAAGACTTATTAAAACTACATTTCATATGTTCAGGAAGATACAGAAAACATAAGGATATAAGAGGGGATATTACAAAAAAATATTCCAGAGATGAAAATAACAATATCTGAGATGTCATGGGATGAATAGCGCATTCCACATTGCAGAAGAAGAGATCAATAAACTTGAAGATACTAGAATTCAAAAATAAAACACAGAGAAAAAATATGGAAAAAATTTCAACAGAATACTAGTGAACTATGGGCAACTTCAAGCAGCCTAACAAAAGTGTACAGTAGTCCCCCCTTATCACTTTCCTCAGTTTCAGTTACCCAAGGTCAGCCTTGGTCTGGAAATAGATGATCCTCCTATTGACATATAGCTGGAAGGTCAACAGTAGCCTAACAGTAGTCACAATGCCTAAGTCATTCACTTCACTTCATCTCATCACATAAGCATTTTATCATCTCACATCAGTACAAGGAAAAGGGTGAGTACGATAAGAGATTTTGAGAGAGAAATAGAGACCACATTCACATACTTTTTATGGCAGTATTTTGTTATAATTGTTCTATTTTATCATTAGCTATTGTTCATCTCTGACTGTGCCAAATTTACAAATTAAACTTTAACGTAAGTATGTACATATAGGAAAAATCACAGTAATTATAGGGTTTGGTACTATCCACAATTTCAGGTATCCACTGGGGGTCTTGGAATGTATCCCCCAGAGATAATAGGGGGATATAACAGTAGTTAGAGTTACTGTGGGGGAGATGGAGAACAAAAAAAAATATCTGAGGAACAGTGGAAAATCTCCCATATTTGATGAAAACTATAAACTCACACATCCAAGAAGCTCAATAAACCTCAAGTGCAAAAAATAGGAAGAAAATACCACCAAAGTACATCATAAAATTGCTTAAAAAATGATAAAGAGATAACTGTAAAATTGTAAAAGCAGCTAAGGAAAATAAATTACACAGTGAGAACAAATCTGAACAAATCTCATACTTCACAGAATCTTCTGGATTTTCTACATATACAATAACATCTCCTGTGAATAAGTACAGTAGTATTT